GGGGGGGGGGGGGGGGGGGCGAACGTGGAAGGGAAGAACAGCATCGTCGCTCAAGCCAAAAGTGTTGCAGGATTCTTTGTGAAACACGTATGGCATCACGGCGTAGAAGGTTGGGGACGCCACGCCGCTTCCGTTCCAGGTGGAAGGTCGTGAACAACACACGTGCGGAGGACGCTGCTCTGTGAGAGTGCGCTGCGAAAAACCTCGATCGTGCGTTGTACACGGCCCCACGAAATTCAGGTACCAACGAAAAGAAGCGTTGCGATGAGCCATAACCTATATAATAGGCGTACTCGCCCTCATCCGGATAAGATTTCCTTCAAACACCCACCTCACGAATCGCTTTTCCCAACGCCATCCCACCACCCAAGCACTACCGCAGAAAAATGGAACTTTCGGGGAATAGAACCCCGTCTCACCGGTCTAGCACGGGATGACCCTGGACCTTGTACGCTACACCTTCCTCCCCCACCAGCGCCGCTTGCTGCCGCAGCACGAACGTTGCGCAGCCGTCCGACTTTCCCCCGCTCCGCTGGCAGTAGGCCCCTGAGTACCCCAGCGATTCCTGGGCCGCGAGAGTGGGGAGAGAGATGAACAACGCCGTCGGGCATGGTGGTCCGTCGATGGCACGATAACAAAGGGAAAACGCTCCCTATTTTGGCCACGCCTTTGTGGCAAAAAGCACGAGGAGCAGAATTGTGGACCCGGCATACGCGCTGATGTGTACACGCAGGCATGTGCGTTGCACTCGTGTCGTTCACATCACCAAACAGCGGCAGGAGGAGACAAATTTTCTGCGATAGGACCGCAGCGAAGGCTAGGCGAGGTACGTCCGTACTTACTTGGGGTATTCACTACCCGCACTCGCCTCTTCGATAGGTTTGCCACCCACGCCGAAAACACCGGTACGAATCCCAAAACCTGGTTCTATCGAAAATCGGACACTGGCTGCATGTGGCACGTCTCACCTCTGGCGCGACTATTGTGGGACATCTCCAATCCCTGCATGAAACGGCTCTGGGTCTTTTTTTTCTGTATCTGACGCCGATGGCACTCACCAACTCCTTCCTGAAGAAAGCCTCGTACAGGTCGTTGTCCACCTCCTGAAGGCAGACGACGGACGGTCGGAACTCCAGTATCTATCCAGAGTTTGGGCAGCGAGCGCGAAGAGGAAACAACTCACAAGCAGCCCGAGGCCCGCGTGCATGCACCGTTGGGCGTGGGCCGAAGCGCGAATGAGAGTTACCGCCCGACGGGCGTCGTCGCCACGGCCGTGGTGTATGCATTCGCACGACTCGCGTCGGCTCTCCAACGCGCTGTTTTGGCGTGGGCAACCGCTGGGGGGTAAAACAAAACAACCTCGTGGGACAGCCAGCGTAGAAATCGAACTGCCCCTCGGGACCCGGTGGATGGCTGTGCGCGAAGACAGTGATGCTATGGTAGGGGAGTCACCTCATCTTACACTTCTGGGTAGGGATACACACTCTACTTTCAAGCTGTTGGGTTGCAATGAAACGATGTAGGACCCCGAAACAGGACTAGAAGTTTTCTCCGGCAGAGTAAAATGCCAACATTTAACCCGGGCGCTTCGGGGCGTCGGCGACGAGAGCAATCAACGCAGCCCGAATCTTCTGGTTTCGAGCGAGCTCCACCTTCTCTCGCACTTTCAGATGATACACAGCGGTCGCTTGCATGTACGCAACCGCCGGCTGTGGCCGCAGCTAGACACATTCAACCTCCGTGACCGCAGGCGATTGACACCGCGAGCACGGACACGTGGACGTCCTTTGGCTTGAAAAACCAGGCCGACGTTCAGCAGCAAAAAATTCAGACAAAAAGGGTGAAGAGAGTCACGCTGGCTTAACCTTCCGCATGATTCTTCCCGGCCTCGCCCTCCACGCCGCGTCGTTCCAAGTCCGGCAGTACGGGATGTAGTCGAAGCTCACCAAGCTGTCGGCCAGCACGTTGTACGAAACGACGGTAAACTGGGTCCCTCGTTCCGCCCTCCCCCCTGCTTGCGCCACCTCCTTGCAGGGTGCTGCTGCTGCTGCTGCTGTTGTGTCGCCGCCGGGGGAACGGCCGCGCTTCTTCGACGGCGCGCGTTGGCGGTACATGGTCCAAGGACGGCCGCCCGTGGTGTGCAAGACTGGCCTGACCTGCTGCTGCTGCTGCTGCTGCTGCTGCTGGCGGTGGCGGTGAAAGTGCTGTGGGTGGTAACGTTGTTGTTGCTGCTGCTGTTGTTGGTGACGAATAGGCCATGGATCGCCGTATTGGTCGCGGTGTTGGTGTTGGCGTTGGCCCTGATTTCGGGGATGCAGGGCAGGGCGGAACATCGGGATGCAAGGGACGGACGTCCGGCTGTTGGTGGACCAAGCATCTATTTTCAATACGGGCTGCGTGATGCCTGCCGCGCACCTGGAATCTGTAAAGCATCTATTTTCAATACGGGCTGCGTGATGCCTGCCGCGCACCTGGAATCTGTAAAGCCACATTGCAACCAACATGTGCCGCGGCAATCACAGGTGGTGCTTTTCAATTACAGCTTGGATTAAATGCAGGCCACATCCATGCTACTTATACACAGAGTGCTAGCGCCTACACGCCTGCACCTGGTTTCATCTCACCACAACACCGAAAAAAACACTCGTTCACATTCGGAGCCAATCTGCTGCCACCCTGAGGTTTGACTGAGATGGTATGATGTTTCCTGAGATGTCTGGTGGGAAAAAGGGTGATCGCCGTGAGGCTAGGATGCCACGAGCGCGTGTCCGACACCCGGCGCCGTATCCAAACGCGACCATGTTCCATACGCACACCCATCTACTACTGAAGGCTACAGTCTAGATCCCGGGCAGGTAGTAGCGTTCTCAGCTTGAAAACCCAAGCGTCTCCGTACTACATACATACGGCTGTGCAAGTTGGTGGGTCCAAACCAGCCCCTTTCGATATTTTCAAATTCTTATATCTCTTTGGCATCTTGTGCTGCTCATGCTGCCATGGATACGAGCTGGCTCTGTTGGTGAGAACGCAGCCGCGGCAGCAGCGGCAGCGGATTGGATGTGGGTTGGAGACATGGAAATGCAAATGTGTGCAATACATCGGAGTTCAGAGTCACATACCGTCCCGTGGTGCGGCCTGTAGTTGCGGCTATGACGGCCATCCGATTGACCCCTTCCACCAGGATGACGTCCACGGCGACTCATGGCAAAGGAAGATGATGCCTATGCATAGCCGGACCGCCAGCAACAACGACGCCAATCACACAATTTGCCCCGCGTGCTCCAAACTCCAAACTCGTACTCGGTGGCTGAAAAAAACGCCTGTCGAACCAAGTCGAACCAAAATATCAGAGCAATAATTTCGAACCGAGAGCGCGTGTTCTGAACACCAGCCGGCAGCAGCCGGCAGCCGGCACGCGGGCACACTGAATGGCCACACCGCGCCTGACGCCTGACGACCAGCAGCAGGCACGCTCCCGGAGCCCACACAGCACCGCCGGCAGACACTCAGATGGCTCCTGACCAATCGACGCTGCTGTAGCCCCTACAGCACAGAACATGAGGATGGAGGATCGAGGATCAAACGAGCATGTCCGGTAAGTCTGGTTGAGGTTTGAGCTCCACCAGGTGATGATGAACGGTAATACCGTAATCCGTAATAGAAGACGAGGAGTTGGTAGCCTCGTTCGTCGTCCGCTGCCTGTGTGGCCTCGTACGGCGCTCAACGAGCCGGCGCCCGTATCAGCGGGAGTCAGTGGCGGCCTGTTTTGTCCTGGTGAATCCCTGTTGTAAACAGGCTCCCGACCTTGGACGACCTTGCTCATGTTTGCAAGCTTTGGGGCGCCAAGGGGAGCGGTATCTTTTTACCCGCCGCCAATACTTAGTTGCCTCCCTTGAAAAAGTATCAGTAGTACTTGGCCACGGGCCGATGCCGACTTGCCCAATCTTCTAAGCACACCGCTAAGTTGGGCAATGGTATGAGGCCTTACTTTCGCGTGTTTCGCTTGTCTCTCGGAATTGTGCTGCTGTCCTGCTGTCGTTGTTGCTGTTCTCTTTTCTACCTCTCCCGCAACCAATACCGCGGTAGTGCAGGGTAATCTGATCGGTACAGAAGATGAAAGGGCTCGAACCAGTGCTGGGATTCTTGCAGAGGTAAGAAAAACGCTGTGGTCTTCAGGTGGTTTGCCCTCGTTTGTTTCCTGCGCATGTATCGTTGAACGTTGAACCTGCATACATGGAAGAGGCCGTGCAACGACTGCAATATATAGAGAGAACTTTCTGAATGTAGATGTTACGTGGCGACATAGACCACTTCACTAGCGGGGCTGCACTCTACAGGAGGCAGCTGACGCAAGGCGTTGTGAGGCTTCGGGTAGTATTGCGGGGGCGGGAACGGCAGAATGCATGCACACACTTGGGCATCATCGCGGATGGGCTCGAAACGGTGTGCCCTTGCCGATTATTATGCAGTGGTTTGCGCGGCTGGTGCCGATACCTTCAGAGCAATAATATGGTTCGGGGTCGAAACGTAGCCGTCTCTCTTCGTACGAGGCAGGAACATGACGAGCACGTCCACGAAGAATTTGGTACACGGTACTGCCATACCGAGCACCTTGACCAAATACCGTAAGGTTGCGAGTCAGCGCACAGGGGTGCGATCGATTTTCAAAGCGTAATTTCTCCACAACAACCAGGAGGTTACCACTGTCGAACAGGGCGGTTTTGGAAGCATCTCATCGAAAGATTTTCTGAGAAGTATCAGTTGGCGCTCGCACCCTTCTGGTTGTGGAGAAATTACGCATTGAGAATCGATCGCACCCCTGTGCGCTGACTCGCAACCATACGGTACGCGCTGAATATTTTGGCGATCGCCTCAGGTAGCTCTGAGTTGGTATCACATCCCCAATCGAAGTCTTGCGTTGTCCGGGATCAACCCGCAGCTTGCGGGGGGGTCGTGAATCACCGACTGTTTCACTCACATAGAAATATCCCACCAAAAAAGCGTTGGCGTCGCCGCAGACCGCGGGCTAGACAATCTCCAAAGCACTTCGGTCTTGGGTCTGCTATTGGCTCCAGCGGTCCTGTTGCCCCGCGGCTGCGGGGGTGTCGTGAGTCAGTCGCGATAGAACCACCGCTTTGACATAACCCGCAGCCGCGCTTGCTCTCTCTCCTGCAAACACAACACACGCACCTAGGCACAAACTGAAAGACACGTGCGTGCCAAGTAGACTGATAGTCAATGTCTTGTTTCATGCCCGCATCATATAGAGCATGGAGATATCGCCGGTGGAGTGTTCCCACGTGTAGAACCACCCACGCGCATTGTTGTGTGTTTGTGTGAGGAACGGAACCGTCGGTGCCACCCCCGCGAATAAAGTCGCAGCCCGCAAGAAATCAAAATGCAGTACGAAGAAAGTGAGACGGGACCTTTCGCGAAAGCTGAAAAAAGAAGCAGCTCACGCGTGAATCCCACCCTAAACTCTATCTACTGACCTATGATCGACGGTGTCGAAGAAAACGGAAGTTGAACCTCGACCCCAAATTGACGTTTCTATTTCGCGGGCCGCATCTGTACACCCGGATCTGTTATAGGGATATCTACAACGATGATTCCTAGTGAATTTTGTTGCCTTCATTGTTTTGAAAGCGCAAAATATTCCAAAAAATAGCTGTGCAAATCAGACCGTGGTGGCCAGTTACCACCGTAAATAAAAACGTGTTTCCGTGCCACACGGTGTTGGCTGGTTCCCGTATTCCAATACTACTGTGACGACTAATTACCGTAGTGTCCAGTTACCGTACAGAAACTACCGTGGTGGACAGTTACCGCATGGAGTACAGATAGCGCCCGCAGCTAAGAAATATTATGTTAAGAAAAAAGGCTTAATTTTTTTCGCTATATAAGAAAAAAGGGCTAAAAAGCAACAAAGCTCAATCTCGGCCACAACATAAGAACCGTCACTAAGAAACATGATCGTGCGATTCCCCAAGACAACAGAAGCAAGGGGTAGACGCTGGGAGAGCGTGCCCAACGACGCGTCCCACTGCTGCTGCTGCTGCCATGCTCCCACCCCCTTCCTAGCTCATGTCGTGTAACCTTTTAGAGTGATTATTATTGCGGCGCCCCCCGCGCCCCAGCGCCACCGCGGGCTGCGCTACCCGATGCTGCTGCTGTACTGCTGTTCTCCCACAACCCCCAATGTTCGCCACACCGAAGTGTCGTTTTTTTGCTGCATGAAGGCTTGGTGTGTTAGTGTTTTCTTCGCCATCAGAGATAAGAGGCTGAAAAATAGAGAACCAGCAGGAAGCGACAGCCCAAAGGAATAAGAAATCCGTTTTAAGAAATTGGCCGACTTTGGCCTGTCCTTCTGCCCAGAAAAAGAAATTGAGGCTTGACCCGGTTTTGACGTTTCTTATCTCCGGTCGCGATCTGTATGCTGGCGTCATCTTTTTCATCAGCTCATTAGCAGCTATAGTTCAAGGGCGAGACCGCGAGAGTGCGGAGAAAAGAAGTGCCGCGCGTCATGTGGAAAAATGAAAAATATGTGTTGCAGTACTGCTGCTGTAGCTCGAGATGGAGGAGATGATTAGCGGGCCCGCCGAGGGGCGGTCTGGCCTTTTTAACCGCGCCAGATCGATTGAGTCATCTGCAGAACGGTTCGTCTGGTTTCCGAGAGCAGGGGAGACAGAACCAGTGAAGACATACTACGTGAGAATGAAGCGGAACGATGACCAGGAAAATATCAGAAAGAGGGAAAGAAATAAATGTAGAATGCGACATGTGAGAACCTATGTGTGAGAGCCAAGAGACAGGCTGGTGTATGAGAGGAGAAAGAGAAGACTGGCATACAACGTGATATGTGTGCGGGTGGGGA